CCAGACAGAGAGCGGTTAGCAGCTGCGCAGGCAGAGAGCCCATGAGCTCCTTCCCGCAGCAATGATGAAGTGTTTCCTTCCTTACTCAGCTCCGGCAATCACTCTTACTCCTTATCTAAGGAACCACATTTTTACAAGTAAAATTCTAAAAGAAAATTCAGCTTTAAGGTGTAGATTTCTCTCTCTCAAGTGTGGGAAGGAAAGTGGGTGTTTTAAAAAGAAGTATAGCAGGTCTTTTGACCTAAGAGTTGGCTCCAGCACAACACAGTTCAAACAGTTGACTCACAGGAGTTTTCATAGGGGGGTTCTCGTCTGAAGTTGTATGGCGCTGTGTGCTTTTGTCTCCGTTTTGACAACGTACAGAATACACTTCCTCAGCCTGCTGCCTCTACACAGGACAAAACATTTTCATACAAATAATCAAGTGTTTGACGGGATAATCCTTTGTTATTGAAATCATTTCAAGGACTAAGTAATATAATCATGTATAATAATTAAATACAATTAGAAGTATTCCTCTTTCCTAACTAAATGCAGTTAAAATAAATACACAGTATCCATACTTAACTGGGTTTAAAAAAGTGTTTAATCAAATTGCAATTCCATTTAAGTACCCAAATGGGCATTAACACAGAAACGGTGAGAAAGCACACGCAAACCGGGCCCCTATACTCTGTCAGAACCAACTGATGCAGACACAGGGATGACAGAACTGAAGCAGGCTACACTGAAGGCTGCCGCTGAGGATCTCACCTACGAGAAAGCAGAGCAGTGAGAAAGAAGATACAAAGTGGTGAGAGATAGAGACAGGGAGCAGGCGCAGAGCAGGGGGAAAGGAGGAAGGAGGGGTATGGCTAATACAAAATAGAAACAGACAGGAATGCTAGAGATTACCCATAATACAATTCCTGAGAGGAGTAAACACCCGATATGTAAGCGATACACACACACACACACACACACACACACACACACACACACACACAAAGAGAGAGAGAGAGACAGAGAGAGAGAGACAGAGAGAGAGACAGAGAGAGACAGAGAGAAAGACAGAGACAGAGACAGAGACAGACCAACGGAAGGAGGGAGGGAGAGAGGGAGCAGGGAGGGAGGGGAGAGAGAGAAGAGATAATGATGATGGTGACTTGACTTAGGGATGCAAAAATGATAGTTGAATAAGGCAATAATGATGTTCTCTGGCCACTATGCTTTAAAAATCCCCTTAAACCGTGAACCAGGAAACAAGAAAAGATTGAGAAGGTTGCATGTGCAAGAATCAGAGACAGCATACTCCCGTACCTGTAACAGTGCACCACAGGCAGCCATGGGAACAACACTGGATCCTCAGAGACGAGCATGCTGCTGTACCTGTAACAGTGCACCCCAGGTAGCCATAAGAACAACGCTGGATCCCTCATCTTGGAGACTAAGAAGTCAAAAACAGCCAGACCAGGTAGCTGCTGAGGGCTTGCTGCCTGGTTTGTATGCTGTCTCATGGAGGAAGTCCCCTCTAGAACTACCATATAAGGGAGCTTACCTCATTCATGAGCTTTCCTGCCCAGTCACCCCCCAAGATTCCAACCTAACCCCCCTCATCTGTTTGTCAGCAGATGAGTTTTGTAAGGAGAACAGCTACTCACCCTACAAACATATCAGCAACATTCAGGGAAAGAACAGCAGGGATCAAAATACAAAAGGAAGGGGCTGGAGAGATGGCTCAGCAGTTAAAAGCACTCCTGCTCTTCCAAAGGCGCCAGTTCAGCTGTTCAGCTTTGAGCACACTCTGAGATACCTCGCAGCCATCTATACCTCCAGTTCCATGGGATCTGGGCCTTCCTCTGGCAGCAGTGGGCACCTGAACTGACATAGCAGAGGCTCACACAGACATATCCATCAACATACACAAAAACAGTTGTTTAAAGATGCAAGCAAAATAAGGACTTTATGAAGCACAATGAGATGGCATAGAGAGCATGGTAGAAGAGGTGTCACTTTTGTTTGAGAGTGTGGCATTGGTGGGTTTCCCATTCCCAGTCGGTGTCCCCCTCACCGTGCACATATCGGCAGCACTAACTGGACTCAGGGAGTTAATAATAAATGAATGGGTAAAGTTGGGGGAGATATGAGATAGGATTTCCTAGTCAGGGAGTTGACAGGAGAATGGGAGCAGTATACAGAATCAAGATGTTCTGAATATGTGCATGGAATTTAGAAAAAATTAAAACATAATTTTTAAGGTAGGAGAGGGGATGGAGAGATGGCTCAGTGGTTAAAAACACTTGTGGCTCTAACCTAAGACTTAAATTTGGTTCTCAAAACCCACATGGAAGTATATTTCTAATTCTGGTGCCTATATCCACTTCTGACCTCTGCCAGCACCAGGCATGCACATGGTACGCTTACATACATGTAGGCAAAACATGCACACACATAAAATAAGATAAATAATTCCAAAAAGGAAAGAAAAACAATAAATGCTGGAAATTTAGTATTATCAAGTGCTTCTGAAAATTCCAGAAAAATAAGGCACAGTCACTGGTAACATTAGTGAAGATATTTTCAAAGCCTGCAGAGAAATGTGAGGAGACAGAGCTCTGACTGCACGGAACTGATAGACATCATTAGACAGGAAGTGATTTTAAATACACTCTGAATGCCTGAGGATGCATACGTTTAGCAAAGGAGGGACAGTAAACAGCTGAATGAAACCTGGGGTAGACAGAAAGATTCACCAAAATGGGAATGGTGACTCGATTATTTCAATACACACATTTATCCTAAATATATATTTTTAGGTGCATACATATGTGTCAGTTACACCCACATATTTTTCTCTCTTTAGGCATGCTCTCTGAGAATAGTTCTCCAGCTTACCCACTAATTCACAGCTGAGGAAGCCATCAGCGAGTTGTCAATGAAGAACATTCTGCTATGTGGGGTACTGCTTGGAGAGGCTGGGAATAGAAAGATGGCAACACATATTTCTTGGGCATAAGGGCTTTATAATCTAACTAAAGTGATTAAACAAATAGACAGGTGTCTAGAATGAAGGATTGGGTAGGATACCTGCCATATGGCCTAGTGTTCAATGCTTCATGATTGACCTTCAATCTAATCTGCCTCTAGATTAGCAGAATTTGATTCATTGCCTCCTATTACCCTGCAATGGAAGAGTCACAGCACAGAAAATGGTTGTTGCTAATAGAAAACAGTTTCATAGCCTATCCACTGCCCCATCACTGAGTATGGTGTATTACAGCCATTGTTGCCTAAACCTTCAGAGCAGATATTGTGATAATCACCTTGTAAGTGATAAAGACATGCATATTGTGTGAGCATCAGGAAACTTTTTACTTGGCTCTTGGTTGACTATGTGGTAAGTAATACTTGAGAAAGTCAAACAATGCTGACCTTACGTGACAGAGATTCAGGATAAAATTATTTGATCTCTCTAATTTTGGTATTGGTGTTGTTGTCATGAGATGGTCCATTCCTCAAACTATGATTTTGCCTATGGGTGCATCTCAAAAAGTGTTATTCGGGTTATAAGAGGAAAAATCTGAAGCAAAAATAACCTAAAAACAAAAGCCACCTTGTACACGCCTATTGCTGACAAGACCAGTCACCCTGGAAGGCGTCTCTGTCCTAAGTCAGCATTCTTTACATAATCCAAATATGCACTGGTTTTGCTAAGGGAAGTGACTGTCTTCTTAATTACCACAGCACAGAAATTAGACTCCCTAGAGACAGATCTGACCTCATGAAATGGAAGAGATTCTCAAAGTCAAAGCACACTGTCATTTGGGGAAATTGGCAGTCTACAAAATGAAGACAGATCTTGAACAATTATACATCTGATAGAGGGTATCTAGAATATATAACAAAACAATTTTCAAAAAACTGAACATCAATGAAAGAAATAACCCAAATCAAAAATGTAATATAAAACATAGAGTTCTCAAATTGCTGGGATTAAAGGTGTAGTGTACGCCACCACTGCAAGATGTTCAACATCTTTAACAGTCAAGGAATGCAAACTACCACTACCTTGAGATTTTCTCTTTTAAAAAATTATTTATAGTTTTAAAATCTGTTTACTGTTGTGTGTGAGGATTGTATGTTTGTGTGTGTGCATGTATGTGTCAGAGAGAGGAAAGACAGAGAGAGAGAGAGAGACTGAGCTGTGGCATCCATTTGGAAGTAAGAACATAACTTTCCGGAGTCAATTCCCCCTACCATATGGATCCTGAGAATACACCAGGCCTTCAGCTAGCGGGTAAAAGACTTTTCCCTGCCAAGCCATCTTAGTGGCCATCGAGACTCACTCTTGATGATAAATAAATATGGCAGGGTAGAAAACATTTTCTTCAAAATACACGAGAAAACTTAAAAGATCGATAAAACAGCAGGTGGTGTCCAGAAAGTCACTTCTCAAAGCTGTGAAACCTCAGCTATTTTGTGCCTAAACATCACTGCCGTGGACTGAATATCTTCTCTGGCCTTCTGAGGTACTAACCACTTGACATGTTTACCAAATTAAGAATGGCAAAGCTGTGGTGCATAGAGCGCATGGGCTAGTATACTGATCGCAGGACACAAAATAAGGACTAATTCCTGAAAGGAAGGAATGTGGAAGATGGTTGATAACAACCACTCGGAGTTTTTTTCTAAGCTGAGGGCTGCTGTCATTGAGAGTTATCAGGAACTATCTTGATAGCATCTCCCAAGTACCCTGAGGCAGACATAAGAAGCTAGCTATGTGCCAGTATCTTATTTGAACCACTTTCAAAGAGAGGCTACAGGCTGCCTCCTCTGTGGCTCTAAACTTTTTCAGTCACTTCCATTTTAGAGAACACTTTTCTAATAACATTTGCTTTAGGACCTGACTTTATTTTGTAATCAATTTTTCCAAGTATCTACTGTTCTCATGGCAGTTACTTTTAAACTACTTTCAAGTAAAATTGCATTCACCTCCACCCATGCTTCTGGGTGATTTACTAACATTAGGGAGGTTATAGCAGGCACTTATTTGAGAATTTTGTAATATTTAATGTTTATTCATTTGGAAGAGAGAAACTAACAGCCTTTCATGATTAAGGTCTAAAACCTAGAAAGCAAAAAATACCTATGGAAAGGATCAGAGAGTTATGTCATCTAGGCCAGCTCTGGCTAGTCTGTTCTGGGAGTTACACATTTCTGCAGGGCAGCCACCATTGACTACTAACTTATTAGCATCGCTGCATGTGAGCTGCAACAAGACCTGAGTGGCTGCGACAGTCCATGTGAGTCATGGAGTCTTAAGCATATACTGACTGATCCTCAGTATTAATATCCTTAGTAAGCAGGAATGCTGGAACAATGCAGGCTGAGATATTGTGAGCATAGCACTCTTATTTCTGATAACAACATTCTATGGTTAGTCGGAGAAAGAATCCAAAGAGCCAGAGGGGCTGAAGACACCAGTAGAACCCATGCCGCAGAACCAACTAAGCAGGACTCATAGAGGCTCAGAAAATTAAAGTGGCAATCACAGAGCCCACATAGGTCTCTTCTGTTGACTGAGGTTTCTCTGTCCTGCCTGGTACCTGCAGTAGTTAAGTCCCAAAGAAATCACACAGGGGTCTACATTAATCATAAACTGATTGGCCTAGTATCTCACACTCCTTATTAACTCTTATAACTTATATTAGCCCATAATACTTGTCTGTGTTAGCCATGTGGCTTGGTACCTTTTTTGGCAAGGCAGTCACATCTTGCTTGCTCTGTGTCTGGGTGATGCTGCAGACTGAAACTTCTTTCTTCCCCAAATAAGTGTTAGCCAATAAGAAGCTAGAGCTAATGGTCCAAGCAGTGATTTAATAATATGGTTTCTGTGTGATGATTTGGGTCTAAGCAAGCTGGGTGTCCAGGAACCAGAAGTAGCCCTCCTCCAACACTGCCCTGTTTCTACTTCCTGCCCAATCACTGCCCAATCAGCGTTTATTTAAAAACCAAGAGTCAGGGCACAGACCACTGTCCCACAGCACTTCTCCCCCCACCCCGTTTATTTAAAAACTAAGAGTCAGGGCACAGACCACTGTCCCACAGCACTTCTCCCCCCATCCCGTTTATTTAAAAACTAAGAGTCAGGGCACAGACCACTGTCCCACAGCACTTCTCCCCCCACCCCGTTTATTTTTTGGTTTTTCGAGACAAGGTTTCTCTGTAGTTTTGGAGCCTGTCTTGGAACTAGTTCTTGTAGAACAGGCTGCTCTCACACTCATAGAGATCTACCTGCCTCTGCCTCCCAAGTGCTGGGATTAAAGGCAGGCACCACTACCACCTGCCCCCCATTTTTAAACAAGAACTCTGAATTCAATATCCTTTGTTTAGCTTTTCTACTGACCATTATCCATAACAACTTTTAACCAATATTCTGAACAAAGGTAAACATCCATAATCCATTTTGGGGGAATGTGGACATAGTTTTCTAGGCTACTTGCTATTGATTGGGGGTGCTTTTAATCTTATGGGCACCTAAAGAAAATTTAGAATTATGATCAAGTCCTGACTGGAGTATCCTGTGAGGCTCAGTCATCTCAGGCAGAAGTCTTTGAACTGTTCTGGATGTAGAACTCAGACATCTGGGCAATTCCTTCTATTGGAGAATTCTCAGGAGTTCTTCCTTGGTCAAACCTGATTTTTCTTAATGCAGAATGAATCCACAGCCTCTCATTTCCTGTGGAAACAAAAGCAAAACCTCTTCTCCAAAGTAACCTATCTTTTGACTTAAATTTTAAAGTCAAAGCATTTTCAAAATATATTTATTGAATGAATCCAGCAGCATTTATAATTAAATGTCTTTTAGCAGTTTTTGCTCCTTCCTCAGTCATTAAACAATTTAAAGACAACACAATAACATACAGTATCTAGATTCTCTGTGTATTTTTCATATTTATGTGACTTTATTTTAACCTCTATTTTTTTATTTTTATTTTTAATTTTTGGCATTTTGAGACAGGGTTTCTCTGTGTATCTTTGGCTGTCCTGGAATTCACTCTGTAGACCAGGTTGTCATTGAATGCACAGAGATCTGACTTCCTCTGCCTCCCAAGTGTTGGGATTTAAGGTGTGTGCCACCACACCCAACTACCCTTTGTTTCTTTTTTATTTTAAGGACTTTATCCTTTTTTCCTCCCAAACCTACATGTATTTTTAACACACAGTAAACCATTTAGAGGTTTTCTTCGTCTTTGAATCCATCTTTACTGTACTATCTCTCTTTTTTTCTGCCCACATGATTCTTTAATTTGCTAAGCAATCTGGCTAGAATTAAAGCCTTGGTTTTGATGGCTGGATCTATCCTATTCCTTAGCTTTTTTTCTGAGAGTCTAGCCTCATGGCAGAGGTACTGGCTGGAGCCATGTTTATTATAACTCAATGGCCTTTCAAGGTTCCTACCACCACCACAAAGTACACAGTAAGCTTTTCATCAACACCATTTTAGTGTTTCATGTCAGGACCTCTTGAAAGAGCTGCAAGGTTTTGCAGGTAAAGCTGAGTCAGGAAGCCTCTCTTAAATGAGAGCACTTGCCTCGAGCAAGCAGAGTCCACATGAGAAAATGCCGCTATCAAGAAGCCGTGCTTAACTCTCCTCTTTTCTATCTGGAATAATCCCAAGCTCTCTCAACGGATTTAGTCAGTCCCACATTGGCACTCCACTGAGTCAGTGCTCAACATCCCACATGGCTGGCAGACCAATCCCAAAAAGTGTGGACTGGTCCCCACATTCGGGTGCCACAGTCCTATGTCCTCTGCATATTAATTATATCTATTAGCTTAGTGTTTTCATGGAACTCTTAGCAGTTGGGGTGGGGTATTCCTGATTGTTTTGCCTTCTTATGGGAACCTTCTCATCCTACTGGGCTGCCTCATCCTTCCTTGACATGAGGGTTTGTGCCTGGTGTTATTGTTTCTTGTTATGCTAAGTTTGGTTGATGTCCACGGAAGGCCTGCCATTTTCTGAAGAGAAATGGAGAAGCGGGAGGGGGCAAATGGAAGGGTTAGAAGAAGGGGAAATGGCAGTCAGGATGTGTAGCATGAGAGAAGAATAGAAACATTAGCTGCTAGCTGCCACCTAAATCTATCAACAGGTAGCACTTAGTGTAACCCGCTCCTGGCAAACCAAGGACTCAGATGCTTTCTAAGTAGTGGTTCAGTAGCCTTTGGCTTGTCTCACCCACTCACTGGTCAACTAGTGGGAAACTCCTGGAGGTTCTGCAGGCACACTAGAAAGAACAAACCACATACGACTTAAGCGTGTGCTTCAATTACTAGCAGAGCGACTGGGATGAAAGCTGCAGAAAGAAAGAACAGAGTTGGCAAGAAGATAGCCAGTCTAGTATAGAGAACACTGGATAACAGAACTGACGGGATATGATATTAAATAACGTATAACTACAGAAAAGAAGTCAGTTATCGTCTAAGTTTGTGGGATTGGGGGGGGGGGAAGCATAGGATGTTATATAACTGTAATGCCAGGATGTATGGGAGTCTTGTAATGTGCAAGGATGGAAGAATGGTAAAAAAAAACACAAATTATTTTAATTTTAGTATGTAACGTTAGAAACTTTTCAGGCCTTGAATGGAGGAAATAATGCTTGTGTCTTGGAAATATCAGAGACATATCAGAACTAGAGATATAACCTAGGATATAGATTTTTCAAATTGTGAACAGTGAGAAAGAGTAATACAAGGAGACCAACTTAAGGTAGCACATAAGAGAAAAAGTACCTGCTCTGTGTGTGTGTGTGCGCGCGCGCATGCACCCGTGTTATCCTCTTTAGTATGAAGAGCAGAGGCACAGAGAGAAGTGGAATAGTCTTTGCCTTCTGGCTCAGAGTTGAGTGGAGACAATCAAGGAAATTGTTGGTTGTATGTTATGAGATAAAAGCTGTAAAATATTGAGTGGGAGAACAGGAAAAACATAGAAAATGTCAATACAAAATGAATAAATTGTTCTTAATACATCACACAAATGTGTCTTCCACTCCTTGCTGATGTCTGTCAAATAGTTCCAGAAGACTTCAGAAATGCTCCTGTGAGTAGAGACACATATTCGCTCCCCCTTCTGTGGACTGACATCAGCAAAGGCTGACCTTCTTCTGTATACCATGCTGGTTGGTTTAGGTTTCATTCCACACCTACATCCTACAATAGCACTAACTGATACGGGTCACTGTTTTTGTTAAATATATAAAATATACATACAACTTTCAAAAGCTGAATAGAAAGAAGGAGTTACAGATATTTGCTCACTTGCTGTGGAAGACTGGTGGGCAGAGCTTTCTCTAGCCAACACTATCTCTCCTTGCTATTGATGCAGCATGATTCAAAGTACCAAACGACTCCCTTGTTAGTTAGAAGTACAGTGGAAGCTGGTGTTGTGAACTTAAATAAATAGTTATCATTTTGTGAAAACATTGACCATAGTTGGTAAGAGTAGAGCATTGAAGCACACATGAAACATTGCATTTATAAAGTACTTAAGTGTTAGGAACTTGTAAGAGACTGAAGAAACCAGAAAGCTTCTGAAGCATCACAACTTGAAAGCCTCTGCATCTAACAGGTGAAGTTAAAGACAGATTTGAGTGGCACCCAGGGCACTGATGTCACAGTGACATGTATTGTCCTAGAATATGAAAACAAAGGGAACAAGGATTTTTACATTTTTGAAAAATACTTATTTTTTAAAAAATAAAATAATATTAATTGAAAAATTCAAATTTAATACTATTAAATACTTCAATGCTATCTCTGTGTCATTTGCAATTGCCATGGTCTAGTTCCATACATTCTCATGTTTCTTTTTCTCTATCTTCCCTGTGCTGACATCTCTGCAAAAAGGACAAATGCATCAAAAATAAACACGAGAAACATCACAGTTTTCAAGGAAAATGGCAGAATGTTTAATTCCCATAGTTTATACTGCTGTGGAATACTGGCTTAAGATAGGTTGCATTCATTTATGCTGTGGAATATTTGTATAGAGATGCAAAGATCTGTGGCAGACTTTTATGTTGCATTTGTTTAACTCTGTAAAGCTGTGTTACTTTTCCTGCCTGAAATACCTGATTGGCCTAATAAAGAGTTGAATGGCCAGTAGCTAAGCAGGAGAGAGAAACAACTGGGGCTAGCAAGTAAAGAGAAAGAAGGATAAGAAGAGGGGGGAGAAGAAAAGGAGAAGGATAGGAGAATACCAGGGGCCATGCACCCAGTCACACAGTCAGCTATTTATAGGTATAAATAACTGATACATTGGTGAGACCTGTATTTTTGAAAAAGAAAACTCAGAAATTATTTTAATAAGATATTCAGGAAATACATTATAATTCAATAAATGAAATTGGGTAATTAATGTTTTCTGCATATAATGTCTTAATAAAATTCAGTAATAAGGAAGGAAATTAGCAGAAAAAAATTGGAAATATTTTCATAACTTGCCAACCTCAGAGCCGAGGGAACTCTGCAAGTTGTTAGGAGCCTTCTTTGTGGATGATGCCACATCGTTTTGGTTCCTTCTTGAACATACGGATACATAAAAAGCCTTTACAAGTGCAAAGTCATAAAGATTCCAGATTTGCATTATGTTTAGTATGAACAGCACTTGAAACCCCTTTCTCTTTCAACCTGAGCATACTTACACCCTGACCCACCTTGTGTAGAGCCCATTTTCCATCTATTCATTCAAGTTTCTTTAAAGAAAAATAGTGGCCAAATTTACAATTATCATGAGGTATGAGCTGGCGCTGGTTCCTTCTGGCTATCTTTTAAGAGACTTAGAGGTATAGTATGTCCTAATAAAGTCAGCCTTTGCTTTAGCCTCTTCTAGCCGTGCACAGGCTTTCTGAAAGATGAGTGTATTCATAACAAATTTCTCTTCACAGTGTCTTTTACGAACTTCTTCAGCCCTATGAGGAAAGGAAAGAGAAAAATATAATAGTTGTAGATTACTAAAGTCATACAGATTGGGCCACCATGGTCAAAGGCAGATGTTTTCAGATAGACACTTATAAGCAGCAGAAGTTCAGAGTTCAGCCTATATAATACACTACATTAATAAATGATAGTAAATTCATATTGTACCAATGTTTGAGATTTCCACTGCAAAATTCCTGAGAAACCTCCCACAGTTCTGCTTAGATTTCCCCTAAAGCATCCCCACTGCCTGTGCATAACTTCTTCCCAAGAGTCAAGAAGCCCGTGTTCCTTTCATGCTTCAACAAGGGAGAGGATGTATTCGCTCAGAATTTCTTTGTTATAGCCCCAACCACCCAGTACCTTGGCATATAACTGTATTTGGAGACGGAACTTTCGAGAGGCAACTGCAGATTAATGAGATCATGTGAGTGGGTTCAAATCCAACATGGCTAATGCTATGATGATAAAGGAACACACACTAGTAATGTGTGTTCAGGGAAGAAGACACGTGAAGCCAGTGTAAGATATTGGCCTTATCCTCAGTTGAGTGCAGAAGCTGGGGAAAGTCACATCTATGCACAATCCCATGTTACAGCCGTAAGAAAATCAGTCATTCTACTCAGGAGGCTCAGCTTACAGTACAGCAACCTACGAGATGAATACACAGTCTACGTTAGAAAGACCCAGATCAGATGACTTTAATACACCCAGGAAATGTCAAAGAGTAGCAGAAAAAGTCATTCACTCATTCCCATTCATTCATTCATTCATTTATTTTCAAAGTATGAGACTCTCTCCACATGCTTCAAACAGAAATACGAAGCAATAAATAGAAAGATAGCCTCAAGAAAAGTGTGCAGGAGATTAAGAGAAAGATACAATGAGTACTTGCATCAAACGACTTACTACAACAGGGAACTCATTAGAGAACAAGACAAAGTGAGATAAGAAGGGGGGTAAATGCTGATGATGAAGCCTATAAAATGAGTAGAGAGAAGACAAAGAGAGATCCAAACATGAAATAACCACCGAGACTTAAAAAATACACATTTTCAGGCATAGAATTAGAGATGGACCATTTTGTCAGAACGATTATATACAGCATGAATGGCTAACACTGAGGCAGGGAGAACAGCATGCCGCCATATGTTCTGATAACTGAGGCAAGGCACACTCTTTCTGCTCCACTCAGCTCTGGGGAAACGTCTCAGTTTATTCATTAAGTACTGTGTTTCTACAGGCAGAATCAGAAATCTGGACTCAGGGAGGAGATCAGAAAATTGAATTATTGAATTATTTTGCAACTTACTAACTGGATTTCAGATGGATTCTTTAAATTTGTTCTACCTCATCTTTAAGAAATGGACAATCTGACTCACAAGATTCATTCAATAAAAGACAAAATTAGTAACACATTGTAAATTCTTTTAATATGGGACATAGTTCTAATCTACATGGGAAGTAGAAAGTACAAAAAGACAAGACCTCCTGAGTAAACTGGGAGCATGGGGACCTTGGGAGAGGGTTGAGAGGGGGAGGGGAGAGGCAGGGAGGGGAGCAGAGAAAAATGTAGAGCTCAATAAATATCAGTAAAAAAAATGAAAAAAAAATGGCCTGGCATTTAATGAGTCCCTTTACTGAATAGTTAGTAAAAGGTGTAGTAAGAGGCAGAGGGTGAAAGAGAGGTCACAGTTCTCTTTGGAAATGTTGATCATCAGGGCTATCCCTGTGATCACCTCCAGGGAGCTAAGACTGGAGAAAGTGTGGCTAACCACAGCAACTTAGGTTGGACAGCCAATCTTTTGATATATAAAATATATCTGTGAAATTTAAGGGTTGTAATTTTGGAACCATTATTTAAGGTGCTTATGTCTGTTTTCTTCATCATTATCAAAAGGACAATCCAGCTTAGACATTTAGTAAGAAGCAACTGAGCAAAACAGAGAACACAGCAGAGATCATAAACCCTGCTTCAAACATCAATGCTGAAAAAAAAGTGGTTACCATTTGATAATCATTCAGCTGAAGTTAGCAACTCTGTTCTGTCTATAACACAGATAATGTACATAGCTGAGTATAAATCAAGGCAAAAAGAATGTTAAAAATATAGAGGAACCAAAATGTAAGTCATAGGAGCATACTGAAACCTTCGTGCTCAAAGATAAAAATAACGAGCCATGGACAAATCTTAAGAAAACAGATATTTAAAAGAACCAATAAGTGATCAACACATGTTAATCAATTCTACTTGGACACATCACCATTTAAAAACTGGAAAAGGAAGTCAATTTCACCTATCATAAAAAAGGCACACTTAGCTATGGATATTTAGGAAAAGCTACAGAAAGTCTATACCTGAAATGATGTCTGCTTTGAAATGCTACATTGACTACTTGGGCCCACCTGGATAAACCAAGATGACCGTTTAAATGTGGACTAATACCCTTAAACACATTTGTGGAATCACTTCCACCAGCATGTACACCAGCACGGCCGCTTGGCATCCTATTTGCGGATAGGATCTCGGTCACCTTCTTCTTGGATTCAATGATTATTACAGAGTTCTCATGTCAAATATAATTGTGATAATAAAACAGGTTGAAACAAATAAAAAATTTTACCATGGTCAACAATTGGGAAGCATTATTAAACTTCTAATTCTTCTCAAACCAAGATACTTATGCCGCACAAACCCAATTCTACACCAGGAACACTCACAGTAAGAACTGATGCTGCCTTTAAAGTAGAAAAGTGGAGCCTTAGGCTGAAATATCAGACAGCGAATGCAGAAATGATCTAGGCTATTTATAATTTCATGGATGCAGATGTGGTCTGTTGAAGGAATTCCAACTTTAGGGCTAATGTTCCTTAAAAGAATAATTTAGCCTGCTGGAATTCAAGGGTGCAGTTGTGTTTGGATTGAAGCTTTACATTTGGTAAGGGCTTGAAGATGTCCTTGGGGATGGCAAGAGTGGTAATGAGTAATGAGCGATAGATGAAGTTAGTCTTAACATCACAGGGCACTGATCCTGCCTAGCGAGTGCAGGTAGACCAGATGGAGATAGCTGGAGCGTCAACAGACAGGAACTGGTGGTAGAAGACAGCACAGAGAAGGGATACAGAGATATCGGGCAGAATGTACATAACAATCTGAAGATTGTGTATCCTATCTTAGAAAGGAGATGCCTAAAGTTGGCATTTGATAGATGAGGATCATCACATAATTTATGTAAACATGTGGTGAAGGCCAAGGAATAAAATGTTGGTATATTTTACGCACAAATAAATAGGAAATACTTTAACATCTCAGAGATAGAGCAGTTCAAAATAAACAGAGGCCTTTTGGATGTATGTGAAGGTAAGTTATAAGCTAAAATTACTGTGAAAAGTGCTTGGAGCACTTTTAAGGAGAGGTTGTCTTATCAATTTGGAAATTATAAATCTACACGATGCTGTTTGTAGGAAAGCTTTATAAACTAGGATATAAAGACCATAGTGAAAGTTGCAGTTTGAATAGGAAACGTTCTCTGACAGCTCATGTGCTCAACAATGTTCCCAGCTGTGGAACATTTTTTTTTCATTTGGTTTGAGTAGGGTTCTTTGTTATCTTATTGGTCTTCTGTTTGTTTATTTTGAAGTGTGTTTGTACGTGTGTGTGTGTGTGTGTGTGTGTGTGTGAGAGAGAGAGAGAGAGAGAGAGAGAGAGAGAGAGAGAGACACCTATGCTTACACAGCCCTCCTTCACACTGCAGGCTTGCCAGGCCCTAGCACAATGCACAGTGGAGAAAAGTGAGATGATGTGAGCATAGTCGGGAGGGTAAGGAAAGTAGAGGCATTTGCTGCATTGTCTGCAACAATGCTTGTTGTTACAGGGAGAGATTAAAACAAGAAAGAAGGTAAACAGCAGAAATTTTAAATTAAGAAAACTCCAGATTAAAACAGAATAAAGTGCCTGAAACATCCTTTCAGATCTCCTGTGAACAATGGCCAGATATCCACTTCAATTCAGAAATTACACAGTCAGAACCACTGAGGAGTTGACAGAGTGCTTGCCTCAATTGTATGAAGTCCTGACTTCAATCCAAGTCTTCAACACCACAAAAACTGGGCACTGAAATGTGATTTCACATACCTGAAATCCTAACCCTCTGGAAGTGGAGGCAGGAGGATCTAAAGTTCAAAGTCAGTCTCTGCCACACAGCTTGAGGTCCACCTATGCTACCTGAGACCCTATCTCACACAAACAACAACAGCAAAAACAGAACCAGCTAATATTTACAGTTGACACACAGAAGTAAGTCCAAGGGAGGAGAATAGAGGTGGAGGTCTGGTGCAAAGGATCATGTGCGTTCTTAGATACGATGCCAGATTAAATTAGGAGAGACACAGGACAGATGGAGATGGTTCTATCTCAGACACTGGCAGAAATCAGAAGACAGGCAGAGCATTTCCAGTGTGCAGGAGGACCTGGAGTGTGCTGCCATCACTGCGGAGACCAGGACAGCAGTGATCACCTAACTGTGCAACGATAAACAAAGCAGGTTTTCTTCAAGAGTGTTAAGAAATGGAAGAAGAATTCTTTTGTTTCCCAATCCTTAGTAACAAGACAGCACATAATTTTCACCTTTTAGCTTGTTTCTGTTGTTCAAGTACAAAATGTCAAGCTAAACGAAAATGTATCGAAAGAATTCAGCATGGACTGTAAATCACAGAGGACTAGGGCTTGTCTGTGCCTTAGCTTAGCCATGTGCCTACCTGAGCTCCTTCATCTGCCTCATCAAACTTTGCTTGTATTTCTCTGTATTCCATTTCTTGTTGACATCCAGGCACTTCTGTCTTAAGTCAGCCATGTTTTGCTTCATTCTGTCAATGTGGACGATTCCTCTGAGCAGGTGGGACCGTTCATTGTTGATGGTCTGCACTAGAGAATGATCTGCGGCATTTAGCTTTTTTTCAGCAAGAAACGTAGTTTTCCGCTCTCTAACTTTTTCAAGGTAAGCAAGTTTTTCCTCCCAAATTTGCCGTAAGCCTCTATGGATTATCTCATTATCCTTTTCCTCTAGTTTTTGTGCCATATACGCCTTCTTCCTTAAGCTCTCTCTAATGTTGAGCTTAGCTCTTTCCTGGGCAATCTGTGCTGTAACGACGGCTGCTGATTTTTCTGATTGCTTTTCTTGATGCTTTCGTTCGGAGTGATATTTATCAAGATCATAAAGCATGTCGAGCTTCATGCCTGTCCTCTGTGAGGTTAAAAACTCTCTCCTTTGCCTCAGCTGCTGCAGAGTCTCTCTTTCAATTGCTGGCTTTGGACGAGTGGCAGGAAGTGGCTGGAGGTAATCCGGGAAATAGTCCCGTTTCATCTCCCTCAACATTGCACCATACTTGAGTGATCTAGGGGAATATAAAGGAGTCTTCACAACAGACATCCTAAACCTAGTGTCCACTTCTTCATCCTCAACGTCAGATTTAGACTCCTTCTGACCTACAACAGAGCACACAGAAAAACAACATAAGAACTAAGCTGATTTTCTCTTCAAATTCTTTGGAAGCCATATAAAATACATCGGGAGCAATGTAATCACTTAAGAAAATGTTTCTCATGGTTTAACTTGTGAATTGGATGAGAAATTCTCACAACAGCATCTTCCCACATGAACATACTTCAGAGGCACCACTCCCCACAGTCACGTAGCTTCATGGCCTCAGTAGTGCCGCTTCATCTCACACATTTATCACTAAGGATACAGTACTAGGTCATAGCTTTTATGCATTTGGGCACAGTGTTTACATGCTCAGGAATATGTTTTATGGAGTTAGACATCATTTTTAATATATTTAGACACAGAATTCCGTAGTTTGCTAAAATGAAAACGTCACATAAATTAAACTGAAGAAGTCACAGGGAACAAGCACAGCATGAGTCAGGTAGCATCCATCACCAGTGGTCACTGAGAGGCCTCTGTTCTGTGCTATGAGCCGCTGCATTAATTAGTTTATCATTGGCCAATTTGGACATGGTGAGGAGTGGTCAGAGCTCTATTGCTGTGGTTGGCTCTGATTAGTTCTTTGTTTCAAAATAATTCTCCTATTAGGCTATTAGTTATGTGCACGTACTGAGTGTGTTAGCTGAGGGATCCTGGGCCAGGCAGCTTTAGGTCAAACGTAGAAAAGCAGTATTATCCTGTGTTTTGCTAGTGGTATTGTTATTAGTTAACTTTTATTTCGAACTATAGCGAAATCTGGTAGCTGCCATCAAAATGTTTGTCTTCTATTTTCGAAAGACATCCACAACATTTGGTCCCTTTTCTTTGCTACTACATGCCAGGGTGAGCGGAATTTCTCCCAGTAGGGAACAAAAATGCATTGTCTCATCTTATCCAAGGCCCTTAAAGGACACATGTCTCCTCTACTCTACTGTCTTCTGACCACTGTACAAACCTGAGGATGACACAGGCCAAGAAGAAGCAGTGGGCAAAAGAGTAATAGAACCACAATCTGAAACACAAGTCGTGCACCAGAATTATCAAGCTGGGACTCTGGTGCAGCCAAATAAAAGTTAGAACCAAGCAGAAGACCAAATTCACTTCTGGGTCTCTTTGCTATGACAGCCAGCCTCACTAATACAATAGCTAACATTCTGTTGTTTCAATATTTACTCTTTATAAATCTACTGGTAAAGAGGGGAACACAGATATAAAAGATTATATAAAAGCATCCTAATATCAGGAAAGAAATGCTTCCTGTGTGAGACTGTTTTCCTTTGCTTGAGATTGCATTCGTGACGACAGTGCGTCATCTCTCTTCCAGGAATCCTTTCATGTCTTTATGTTACAGTGATCGTGCTAAAGCAGATGGTGGTGAAGTTGGCCATGAAGAAAAGCATGCTGTTTAACACAAACAAGCAGATGAAACAGAGAGAAATAACAGACATTTTAGCTAAAGGCCCAAAGGATATCTATGTAAGGAGATGAAGCAGTGTATACCATTAAATAATAAAATAAGCAAATAATTTAAAATGCAGTATTTGAAGATACAAAGGCAAAGTATCCAAAGATAAAAATAAAAAAAGGCTAAAGACAGACAATGGAATCTGTGTTCGTGTCCGCTGGAATAGCTCAACAATTCTTCTGCATTTGTGACCTGCACTGTACCCACAGATTTGCTCCAGAAAGCACTCGTGATTAGCGTGTGCGTTCCTGTAGTGTGCCTCTGAAGATTTTTGTGCCTTTTGTGCAAAAAAAACAAACTTTAGTGTCTCCTCACTGGCAGGATGGTGAGAAGGCCGGTGCTAACTTATGGGTGTGAGTCACATTATGAAAAGGATCGGTCATGTAAGGAGCTGTCCTTATACTTACATACACTATATTCACCAATCACCAGGTCTTCAGGTACATTTATATTTTTGCAGAATGCCATTTGTTCTGCTGTCTGTTCAGATTACTTTCACTTTTAATGTCATTTATACAGTATTTTTCTATAATCAATAAAGAAGGAAGGAATCTTAAAGCCTTATGTCAGTTTCTTCACCATGTAGTTGGTCACAAGCCATCAAAGGCAAGTAATAGTAACCAAGTAGGACACAGGGCTCTTTAGGGAGATGCAATTCCTTTGATTAAACTCCAGCTTAGTGTTCTTCACAAGACTAGTACCATGGAGTGATAACTCCTCAGCAGTTACAGTTTTTGGAAGGAAGGGTGAACAAATGGAGACAGGAATCTGGTTCTCGGGGGTAAAATGGCTTGAACTACTTAAAGCTTTGAGTATGAAGCAAATTTGACCAGGTTAAAATCCTACTTCTACTGTCACGTGGCCTAGGAACATAGCTTGATTCTCTAGTTTTCATGCTTATATAAAATGATGTGTAATTTATATGTCTAATTCTTTTATACCAATTCATATAAACCAGTGGGCTCTTTTTTTCTGTCAGGGAAATGTTCAGAACCTCTTTCCAATTCTCTTTATGATGTTTTTTTCTGTCACTGAAATATATGAGTTTCTTATGCTTTTTATATATCTTCCAATATCTATTATACAATGCATAAATATTTCTTCCATTCCATGCATTATTTTTTTGTTTTATGTATTATTTCTTTGTTATACAGCAAATAGTTAATTTGATTCAGTCTCACTTATTTTTAGTTTTGCTACCCATTTTATTTATATATAAAAATAAAGGGTTGTTTCAAAACTCATGTCTCTCTCTTCTCTCTATAAGTGTTATAGTTTCAGGTCTTATAATAATTAAATTTCTAGTCAATTGAAAATTGCCTATTTGTGAAATGTATAAGAAAAGAGTCTTCTTTAATTTAAAAATGTTTTGAATTGTAGATATCCAACCTTTCCAACACAGATTACTAAGCCTGCTTATTCTTTGTTAATTATTTCAGTATCTTTGTCAATTGCTGGCACACGTGACCTTTGGTTCATGTCTGTTTTGGTGAGAACAGAGTTTTAAGAATTATCGCTATGCTTCTAAATACAACCATTTTAATTAGAGACAATTTCTATTTTATAAAAAGAGTCCCAAGTCCTTTCACAAGATTTAGGAATAAGAAGGAGGTTATAGAGCTCAATAATAAGTGAATATGGTGTCTAGAAATAGCTTTAGCCAAAGATGAGAGATTTTTCCACCATGACACTTATGAACATTAACAAAAGCCATCTGAAATATCGCTGTTCATCTTCTTGTTCTGTTCCCTTCTGATGACTCTCATGTGTTAGTCGTCTCATGGATTTCTTCTGTGTCTTGTCCATATCTCAACTCTGCTAATGGTATCAAGCATTTCCACTGGACCTAGTGAGAGCATCGTGATAGGAAAGAGAGTGGCTATGCTCAACTGAGGAGATGGCAAAGGGCATTTTCAATAGACAAATTACAGGTGATGTGGGGAAGAAGTTCCTTTGCTGTTGTCCATGATTCCTCTGATCATACACAAATACACAACGGTGATCATTACAGCACTATGCACAGGAGTTCAAACCTGAACACTTGGTGACCACACATATAGCAGCTCTTCTGTAGTCTAGAGTAAGTCAGTGCTAAGTAAAATATTTTAGTAATATTGTCACTGCTCAGCTTTTGCTTGTTTCAGCAGACGTTTCTAGGAGACATATTCTTACAGCAGACTTCTGCTAAGAACCGAACAATGAAAATATCAATGTACATGTTAACACTTAACCTGAAGACTCTCAGAGTTCCATGCCCAGATGAGGAGCTACCGACAACTAATGACTTCCAGGCATCAGCCCCTGAATTGTCTATCTAACACAAAGGGGTCAGCCCTGAGGTCATGTACACAAAACACAAAAGGAGACTCAGCATGACGTATTTACATGTGTGTATCTGTGTGTGTGTGAGTGGGTGTGTGCATGCATGTGTGTGTGTGTGTGCATGTGTGCAATGATTATAAAGAAAAAGAAGCCATCAATCTGAGAGGGAGATAGGGAAAACATGTAATGGGGGGCTGGGGGGCAAGAAAAGCGACAAAATTATGTAATTATATTTTATTTAAAATTACATTAACAAAAATGTTTGAAAATATTAGATTTCAAGTTAGCATCCTATTTTTAACTGATGAAAGGATAATAAATATAGTTCAAGAGAAATGGGTAAAAGATTACCTGTCTGTGCAGATGGAGGGAGCACAACCTTTGGATATGAAGGACACTGACATAAAAGAACAGGCGCTGTCGTGTTACGGTGTGAAAACAGAGAGGAGAAGGTGACTTTGGCACACTCCGTTCCGCACGTCTGACCCAGGCTGAGTGCTGAGACATGCCTGAGGATTCAAGGGCGCACATTTTCCAGACATTGCCTGACCCTGCTACTGAATTAGCCTTTTATTCAGCTTACTGCATCATGGGAAATACGACTCACGTGGTTCAATTTAACACTCCTCATTCATATAGTAATTTTTTTAATTTAGACTAAAAAGAATTGGCATTTGAAATGTACCCTTAGAAATCCCAGCTACGTCACTGATATAAATAGTAGTCCTGACTCTACATAAAAGTCGGGTATTAGCATAATCTCTAGCTGTGCTGAATCATCACAATAGGGAAAAATATTATGGTGGAAAATTGAGCCCGACCACAGGTGTCCCCTGAAACTCCTGAATCCTTGATGCACCGAGAGCCCTTCAACGCTCACCAACAACGAATGATCACTCCTATCCTCAGGCTACAGCGACCATCTTTAACAAAGTGTGACTTCTGACCGAGTAACAAAAATGGAAAACCTTCCTGTGTAAAAGTTATGTTTGTTTTTCTCATGTCTCATAACGGAACAAAGATCTGCCCAGTTAAGATGAGGGGCCATGAAAGGCTGCCATCCTTGCCGAGGAGATACGAGGCACATGTATCATGGGAGGAAACAATGGAGCCCTCCAGGCCTGTAACAGAAACCAGCCCATTCACAAAGAAACACTTTCTAGTGTGTCACATTCTTTACCCCGATAAGGTTCATGATTCAAAAATTATGGG